TCCAATTTTCTATTACAGAATAATTTTCCTCCCCAGAATCACGATGGGGATTTTTCCTGCAATTATTCCTGGTCCCTAAGCCCCAATAAACAAGTAGTTATTTATTGTTAAAATGGGTGGAGGTGAACACTGAAAGCAAGGCAGTAAGAATAATTACCCTCATTAAATATGAACTGAACCACTTGCCTTTTTCCTAACTAAAAAATAAAGGCAAGGCCGACTACAAAATAATGGTTCTTCTATTATCAGAAATTCCCTCCAATTCATATGACTTCTTCTAACATTTTATATAGACAGTTCCTGAATATTTGTTCTTTCCACAGGAAAAGTTACAGGGAGAGAACTGCAGAAACTTCCCCATTCCCTTGTTACTCAGATCCCAGGATGATGCCATGCATGTATGGTATGAGCAGCAACAGCAACCATTTGAAAATCACTGCCTATGAGCCAGACACTATTCTAAGTATACACATTAACTCATTTACTTCAGATTCAATAACTTGCCCAAAGTTGTACATGGTAAAATGTCCAAAGAAGGGAGCAAAGAAAAGAACTCACCCTCTTCTGCTCTCTGCTCCTTACCCCTTCCCAAGTTCTATAGGTATTTCTCACCCTTCCACCTCCTCCTTCTAAAGTACCAACAGCAAAAGTAGAGGTGGAGAAGGGCATGAGAAAATTTGCCTCTTTCCATCCACTAAGGTCTGGCTGAGACTAAAGCGCAGAGAGGAGGGGAACCCTCCCTAGTAACTCCTACACAATGTTACTGCCACTTCTTCCTCTCAATGGTAAGGAAAACCATAGCACAGGCAAGAGAAAAGAAGGGTGCACACCATCAAACACAGAACAGAAGCCATCCCCCATCTCCTGCCCTTCATTCTCTTACTTCAGGGAGGTCAGTCCAGCCAGGAACCTAGGAGTCACCCCTCACCCCTTCCTCAGGCCCCAGATCCCATCAATTTGGCCTCCTTAATGTCCTTACACCACAAGCTTCCCTCCACTCTCACTGACTAGATCATTTTAAGAGCCTTTGAGTAGTCTCCCTATGGTCAATAGTTTCGACTCTCAACTTTGAGATGTTACAAAATAGACATTACCAGATAGTGTTTTAGGTGACATGACCGCTTGTAATTGTGTCAAGATGAACTTGACTTCCCTTTGACTACAAGCTCCTTGAAGGGGCTGTGTCATACTGCTGGCTGACACACAGAATGACTATGTCTTGATCTGCCCAGGACAATCCCAGTGTATACCTGTTGTTTCAGTCTGCCATTCACTCAGCTCCCCATTTCTCTTTCATAAGTGACAGTTTGGATAATAAATGATAGGGTCACCCTAAAAAAGTAGGTTCTCTGACCCTTACCACCACTCCCCACCCCATTTTGTTAGAGAAGAGGATTCAGGGGAGTTACTACTGGCACCAGCCAGAGCTCCCCCAGAGCAGCAGAACCAATAGGAGATATATATAAAGAGATTTATCGCAAGAGACAGGTTTGTGCAACTGTGGGGGCTGGCTAAATGATTCCAAATTCTGCAGGGCAGGCCCTCAAGGAAGGGCATACAGGACCTCTTGGCTACAAGTGGAAGCTGCTGTCCACAGGTGGAATCTGTTTTGTGAGGGAATCCTCAGCTCTGCTTCTAACGCCTTTTAACTGAATCATAACCACTCCGATTATCTAGAATATTCTACCTTAAAGGCAATTGATTCATGCATTTTAATCACATTTACAAATACCTTTACAGCAACACCTAGATTGGTATTGGGGTCTCTGGGGGCTGCAGCCTCCCTAAGCTGTCACATCAAAAAGACCATCACACTCCTTTAAGCCTCCAAAACTACAGCAGAAAAGGTACATTCCTAGCACTGTAAGTTGTTGTTCTGACAGAATTTCCCTACAATAGCCTTTTTATTCCTCATTGTCAGATTCCCAACCAATAAAACTAGACTTCAAATTCTTGCTAACAAAGTGAAAGAATGACAAACTAAAAAAATATGTATCACCATTTTGCAACCCCTAATGAAATTATACATTCAGGCAACAAAAACCGACAGATAAAGGGGTAATGGGGAAGTTTACAACGGAAGGGTGGGGCTGTCACTAATTTTTTTTTTTTTAACATTTATTTATTTTTGAGAGAGAAACGGACTGCGAGGTGGGGAGGAGCAGACAGAGAAGAGAGGGAGCCACAGAATCCGAAGCAGGCTCGAGGCTCTGATCTGTCAGCATAGAGCCCAACACAGGGCTCAAACTCACTTACAAGCTGTGAGCTCATGACCCGAGCCGAAGCTGGATGCTTAACTGAGCCACCCAAGCGCCCTGCAACTGTCACTACTTAAACCCAGGAATCAATCTTCACGTCACTGAAAGTAGGACACAAATTATGAATTTCCTGATATTAAGCAATGTGATATACACAGCACCATCTCTGTAGCATGACCAACTTCCCAAAAAAGTTGAATCAACTTAATTGAGCCTTTAAAGCTAGCTTCCATTTTACAGGAAATACAGAGGATAGAGAAGCTAAAACAACATCACAAGAAAGCAAAAAGACAAATCTAGAATGAGAAATACTCTATTGGACAATTGACCTGGTTTCTGTAACAAATAAATGGGATGAAGAAAAACTAAGAAAACGGAGAGGAGGTAGAGGAAAAAGAGATTAAGGAGATCTGGGAGAGCTAACAACCAAACGGAATATGTAGACATTGTTTGGATCTTGATTCAAATCACATGTAAAAAGAGATTTTTGAGACAAAGAAATCACAACATGGATCAGATGTTAGATGACACTAAGAGATCACTGATAATTTTGCTATGAAATTAGAATTCAGCTATGAGGGGCACCTGGGTAGCTCAGCCGGTTAAGCCTTTGACTCTTGATTTCGGTTCAGGTCATGATCTCACAGTTCATGTGATCGAGCCATGCATCAGGCTCTTCACTCACAGCACCGAGCCTGCTCAGGACTCTCTCTCTCTCTCAGTCTCACTCTGACTCTCTCTCTCTCTCTCTCTCTCTCAAAATAAACACACAAAAAAAATTCAGCTACAAAAATGGCATTATAGTTATATTAAACAATATCATTTAAGGGTACATAAGTACATAGGGGTAAAATTACAAGACATCTTGAATTTGCATTTTAAAAAAAGCTAGCCTTCATGAGTTAATTACACTTTGAGAGTCAAGAACCTATGTACATTATTTCTATAATGAAATCAGATGGCTAACTCACAAATTAACATTTAGAATATAATTCAGTTCATAAATTGAAAAACACCTAAAATAGAAAGTACAGTCTAGAATACTTAAGCAGCTCTACTAAATCTCATTTCAATTCCAAATATAATTGGGGGTAACAGGAAGCTAGGTTCCTGGGTGTGCTCACCAGATCTGTGATAGTTGTTGAACAAAGCTTATAAAAACAAAACAGACCCTGTGGCCTTAAAAGAGGAGTGTATTAATAACATTCCCAACAAAGGCTGATATTCCAGAGTGTCTAATTATTTCAATAATGTCACAAATCTCCTTCTAAAAACTCCTGATGCCTCTCCTAAAAATGTATGCATGCAAAAATGAATAAACAAACCAACAAACCAAGTCTAAAGTCATATGTAAAGGTAGGGAAAATATTTGCAACAAAGGCAGATAAAAAGGAACCTCTACAAATCGACTTAATAACAAAAAGAATAATCCAAATGAAAAATGAACAAAGAAAATCAGCAGTTCACACATAAAGGAATCCAGATGACCAATAAACATAAAGAAAGCTACTCAATCTTATAAAGAAACATAAATCACTAAAACAAGATGCCACTTTTCATCTGTCAAACAAGCAAAAATTAAGAAGACTGATAGTACCTAATACGGGCAAAGGTGAGGAGAAATAGCTTCTCAGTTATTATTAAGTGGAGTGTAAATTGAGCATGGGGAGTGGCAGGAATTCGGCACTGTGCTTCAAAATTGTGTATGTACAAATTCTTTGACCCAGCAATTTTACTTCCCAAAGAGTACATTTTCACGCAAAATAATGTTCAAGGACATCTACTGCAACACACTAAAATACTGAAACTTTAAAGAAGGGAACAATCTACATGGCCATTAACAAGAACTGGTTAAATTATGATATATTCATTCAATAAAATACTCTGATGCTGTGAAAAATATAAAATAGAGCTCAGATTCCTAAGATATATAGCTATTAGAACAGTGTATGGTTCAGTTATTACTATTAGCTAGTAGTAGTAATTATTTTACTAAAGTGAAAATGATCAAATACCCTAATCCAATGTGGACTATTCAAAGCCAAACCTGAACAGTCAATGTTTGGAAGCAGTAGCTGAGACAACACATAAAAAGAACCATTTGAAAATTAAAAGCAGTTATGGAAAACTGCATCACCTCTGTACTATGATACATACATAGCTATTTGAAGGCAGCTATAATATCCTATAGCATTTTGGAAAGCCACTGTTCACACTGTCATTATTTCATCTTTCAACAAAACAATGAGTTCTAGCATTTCCACCAATCACAAACGGTTCTCTCAATTCCAATAGCTGTTGGAATTTTTTTCGGATCCAACATTTTTGGAACCAGTGTCAACATAGAATTAATTCTCGCTTCAGTATATTATCAGACAGTCCAAAGAAGTCAATAAATGGGACATACACATCTTTATCAAGTAAAAATTGAATTGCGGTCAACACGCAGGAAGACACTAAAGATAATTTTAAACAGAAGTTTGAATCGCACCTAACCTTCCTGAGGCATAAAGGATAACTTTCTTGAAGAGTACCCACTCTAGATTTCACCTTTAAATCGAGATCAGCCTAACGACTCAGATGGGCTAATACTGCACCAGCAGGCAGTTTGTGATCATACATGTGAATGATAAATGTGGATAACACAGTCAAGTTTACTCTATACTTTTCACTTTGGCCTTCATCCCTAAACAAGATTTGACGACAACTGAAAATTGTGAAGTCATTGAATTTCTCCTTCACCTTCCAGTATTTGAGAGGAGGAGCTGAGAAGAAAAAGTAAACGCCAGACACAGAGAGAGAGATAAGGGGCCAAGGTTGGCCAAAGCCACCAAGCAGCCGCAGGACAAGCCCAAGTGAGGGTCCTGAAGCAACACTGCCCCAACGCTCGGGTGTGAGGGAACGCATTCGCAAAGGCTACTCAGCTCGACAACGCTCCTCACAGTCCTCCAGGGGATAAAAAGCGGGACTCCCAGAAGAAGCGAACTTTTGCAGAAACCCGAGAAAAAACTCAAACCCCAGCTTCCAATAATACCTCGCCGGCCTTCTACTCCGGTCTCCGGGAAACGCAGTCGGACGGTGGTGACGTCAATGAGGCGCCGGCTCTGTCCAGGGCGCCAGCGGCGCTTTTTGATAACCTCACGCTGCTCGCCCCGCCCCTGGCTCCTTTTCCCGAGCCTACGCCCTCAAAGGTCTCAGGCTGACGCAGTGCAAGGAGTTGGGGCGTGAAGCGGTTACCTGTTGACTAGATTTGTATTTGGCCGACACCCACCGTAATACAAGTTGAGCATATTGAACCAGAAAACGATGTTACTGACTAAAGCTTTGGTCAGGTTTTTATTTTTGTTCAAGCTGGTTCCGAGACCCTGGTTCTTACTACCCTCCCCTTAACCCACCTCAAAATTAACCTCCTAGAGCGGACTCCCAAATTATCTGTGGCGAAAGCACAGGTTCTTTATTTTACAATTTATCGCTAAAAGATGCTTTTGTAAAATACAGCAGAGAGGAATTTCTTGAAAAATGGGGAAAAGGCAAAATACGAGTCCAGATTTTTCATTATTAGCTTCAACAAAGAAAATTATATTTAAATAAATATAGTCAGTACATAAGAGGAAAAACTGTTAATTGAAAATGTAGAAGTAGTCCCCCTTACCATGGTTTCACTTTCCTTGCTTTCAGTTACCGGAGGTTAACCTCAGTCATCAACCGCAGATGATCCTCCTTATGATGAATTATTGGAAGGTCAATAGTAGCTTTATACCATGTTACAATGCCAACATCATTCATGTCACTTTATCTCATCACCTGGGCATTTTGCCATTTCACATCATCACAAGAAGGGTAAGTATAGTACAATAAGGTATTTTGAGAGACCACATTCACATAGCTTTTATTACAGTATATTGTAAATTGTGCTATTTTATTATTAGTGTTGTTAATCTCTTAGTGTGCCTAATTTACAAATTAAACTTTATCACAGGTATGTATGTATAGGAAAAAATAGTGTTTGATACTATCTGCAGTTTCAGGCATAGAGTTGTTTGGCAGGGGGCAGGTGTTGGGTCTTGGACCATATTCTCTAAGGACAAGGTGGGGACTACTGTAAGTGATTAATAGCATCATTTTTATATTCCTAAGTTTATATATATATATATGAAATCCTTATATTGTATGCCTTAAACTAATATAGTTATAAGTCTACTATATCTCAATAAAACAGGCAGGGGTGAGGGAATGGGGAGGAAAAGAAAAAAAAAGTTAACCAAAATCTCCGGTCATGGGGGCTTTTGAAAACCTGAAATTTGACAACCACTGCCTTATGCTACATCACAGTTTTATTCCATTTCACATCAAGAGACTGAATTCACCTCAGTACGAGTGACTACTCCACCTCTTGAGTAGTCAAGAGAAGAGCAAGAAAAGAGACTCAATAGATAACAATATACCTGGCCTTGGAACTGGAAGATAAAGGCACTGACAACATTCCCAGCCAGAGTAGATCAATTCCTTCCCATTAGATTATTTCACAGTAGAAATAACGGTGGGTTATGCAAGAGTAGCCGTTTGGGACAATCTAGCTATGTGACCCTAGGCAAGTTACAAGTCTCTGATACTTAGTATTCTCATTTGGAAAATAGAGTCTAATAATAGCTATGAGTCAAATGAGACACCTTAAGTGCTTTCCAGCACAGAGTATGCATTTAATAAACATTAATTATTAGTAACATTAATTATCACTATACAATATTATCTCTAAAAATGAAGGAAATTAGAAAATTCCAATGTTGATAAAAAAGAATATTCTGATGTTGAATTTAGGGAGTTTCTTAGGTCTTAGTATTCAAACTATAACAAAATCAAGCTCCCAATTAATATCAGAGTAAAATATTATAATTTTTTTCTAACTTCTGAATGATAACCTACGAAAATCACTGTTACAGCCATCACAATAATAATCATCTCAGGTAAGATTCATCAGTAGATGCTAAAACTATTAGGTGAAAGTTTGATGGACAGCAGGACATTTACACCACCTTAAAACACTTCATCACAGATTGTTTTTGAATTACAAAAGTAAAAATGGTAATCTTACAATAGCAAACTCTGGTAGATATAGAACCAGTTGTTCTATTTTAGCACCACTAATGAGACAAACTGATATCACATGCCTCCTATCATGATGCACTAAGAAATATGGCACCATCATTTAATGTTTTATTCCTGCCAAAGGGTATTATTTGAATATGATCCTCAGAAAATATTAAACACATCCAAAGTGAGGGACATTCTTAAAAAAAAAAAAACCACATTCTCTTTCAGAAATGGTAATGTCATGAAAGGAAAAAAGAGAGAAACTGTCCTAGATTAAGAAACTAGAGAGACACAACAACAAAAGGCAGTGCATGATTCTAGATTGAATCCCAAATCAGTGAAGAAGAAAAAACTCTATAAAGAGTATCATTGGGGCAGTTGGTGAAACTGAATATAGATTTTATATTGAATAATAGTATTAAATCTATGTTAAATTTTTTGTGTTTGAAAATTGCACTATGATTATATTAGATAAAGTTCTTGCTCCCAGAAGATGCATGCTAAAATATTTAGATAAAGGGTAAAGGGCCATGTTGTCTGCAACTTACTCTCAAATAATTTCAAAAAATATTAATAGTAATAATAATAGTAATTATATTGAAGAGAGATATCAAATGTGGCTAAGTGTTTGGTTTATAATTGGTGAATCTAGGTGGACGGTATGAGAGAGTACTGTATTATTCTTGCAACTTGCTATAAATGTAAAATACAAAATGAAGGAAGGAAAGAAGGAAGGAAGAAAAGAAAGAAAGAGGAAAAGAAAGGGAGGGAGGAAGGGAGGGAGAAAAGGAAGGAATGGAGGGAGGAGAGGAAGAAAGGGAGGGGGAAAGATGGATGGGAAGCCAGAGGGGAAGAGCCTTCTCTGAAATGCAGCGATTTCACTTTATAGGTGGTTTGTTTACAAAACTCGCATCTTGTTTGTGAGCTTTAAGGACCTGGGATGAAAAACTTACCACAGGTTATGGTCTATGTGTACAAAATATTACTTTGCAGAATATTGCCCATTGCCACTGCCATACCCTCCCTCAATTTTGAAAAGTAAAATGCAGATTATACTAACGTTAACAATTACAATAGTGGGCTTTGTTTCATATATCATGAGTTAAAAAATAACTGAACTTGCCATACCAGCATTTGGAAACATATTCTCATTCATTAATCTCATTTTTTTAGTCATTGAGCCAAAAGTAGCCAAATCGCCATCTCCCTACTTCTCAGGCTGGATAGTGAGAATAAATAAGGAGGTGAAGCTGCTTTACTGAGCCTCCCCACACTCCACTCGTCTTCCAGGCTTGCAGGGGGGGGACTGATGGAGAGAAAGCTTTGCTCAGATGGGTAAGTACTAAAGGATGGAAATCCCTGCATATGCCCAGCCTCACTTGGGGCCCTGACTTCCTAGTTCAGAAGACAGTCCACAATCTAACTCCATCTGATTTGACTCCTGCTGTAAGAAACAGAAAAATTCCACACAACGAGAATTTAGGAGCAAATTAGGCTTAGTTCAGAGGAGGTCATTAGCATTTCATGACACCCTGGAAGAATGCCCAGATGGTACTTATATTCTATCTTGAAACCAGGGATAGGAGTTTCTAGGGAATAAGCAATTGATGCCATCACCATCTCTACTGTTTATCTAAATAACCTAAATAAATAAGCCACTTCCTCTTCTTCTTTCTATGCCTTTGTGCTTTTTCCTTCCTTTCCTTGTTGTTATTGTTGTTGTTGTTGTTTGGCTTTGTTTTTTGTTTTCTGGGTGTCAAAGAATATTTGATTCATTTGAAACATCTGGTGGGTTGGGGAAATTTAAGCTAGGTTGTCAGCTCATAAGTCATTGTAAATACACAAAAAAGTTATATTTCTTCCCTTATTGTCCTAGTCCCTTCACACTGCCATAACAAAATGACACAGACTAGGTGCCTTATAAACAATAGACAGCCACAACAATAGACTTGCCACAATTATGGTCTGAAAGTCTGAGATCAGGGCACCAGTAAGGTTGAGTGAAGACTGTCTTCCAGTTGTAGACTGTCAATTTCTTGTGTCCTCACTTACGGAAGACAGAAGGGAGTTAGTTCTCTCAGACCTTGTTAAAAATCCCATCATCAGGACTCTTCCTTCATGACCTAATGACCCCACCAAGACCCCAGCTTCTAGTATCATCACCTTGGGCATTAGAGTTTCAGCATATGAATTTGGGGAGACACAAGCATTCAACCATAACACTCATCTTCACCTCACTGTACTTTATTTTCCTAAATTATTTACATCAAAAAATGGAGTAGGGGTACCTGGGGGGGCTCAGTCAGTTAAGCATCCAACTTTGGCTCAGGTCATAATCTCACAGTTCATGAGTTCAAGGCCCACGTCAGGCTCTGGGCTGACAGCTCAGAACCTGGAGCAGGTTCTGTGTCTCCCTCTCTCTCTGCCCTCTCTGGCTCATGCGCTCACTTGCTCTCGCTCTCTCTCGCTCGCTCTCGCTCTCTCTCTCTCTCAAAACTGAATAAATTAAAAAAAAAATTTTTAAAGGAATAAAGAAAGACAGGATTTAAAAACCCTCCTAGAATTAACCAATTGAACAAATAGCTGATAGTTCAGTGCTTATTTAAGAAATTGATTCCTGTCATATTCCTTAAAAATACCCTGAAACCTTGCCACATAATAACATCCTTCAAAAAAAATCAATGTTTATAGGCATAATGAAAATAAATATATTTATTACCCAGAATGAATCCATCCTATGAACTGCATGTAGCTTTGTGCCCCCTGCCAATCCCACATGAGGAATAACAATTAAGGAATGACAGTCAACGATGTAAAAGGAA